GGTAATGAGCAATCGTGTGAGGTTGTAGGGAAAGGTGCAATAAAAATCAAGCTGAACGGGTCTGTATGAGAATTGAAAAATGTAAGACATATTCCCGACCTAACAAAAAATCTAATCTCGGTGGGCTAGCTAGCCAGTGAAGGCTACACGACAATCTTCCATGGTGATGATTGGAAGATTTCAAAGGGTGCGATGACAATTGCTCGAGGCAAAAAGAGTGGTACTCTTTACAAGACCATAGGAGCATATCATCTGATTGCAGTTGCAGCAAATGAAAATCCCAATCTATGGCACCAAAGACTTGGCCATATGAGTGAAAAGGGGATGAAGATCATTCACTCAAAAGGAAAATTACCAGGCCTCCAGTCAATAGAAATTGACATGTGTGAAGGTTGTATACTTGGAAAGCAGAAGAGTGTCAGCTTTCAGACAATTAGAAGAACTCCAAAGAAGGAGAAGCTTGAGCTCATCCACTCTGATGTTTGGGGTCTAACGACTATCCCATCCGTTGGTGGGAAGCAATACTTCGTGACTTTTATCGATGATCACTCCAGAAAATATGGGTTTACTTTCTGAAACACAAGTCAGAAGTATTTGAAGCTTTCAAGATTTGGAAAGCTATGGTGGAAAATGAGACAGGCTTGAAGATCAAGACGCTCAGATCTGACAATGGTGGTGAATACGTAACCACCAGATTCAAGAAGTTTTGCTATGAGCACGAGATTAGAATGGAGAGAACCGTGCCTGGCACGCCTCAACACAATGGTGTAGTTGAGCGTATGAATCGAACGTTGACTGAAAGAGCCAGAAGCTTACGTATGCAGTCAGACCTACCAAAGCACTTGTGGGCAGAAGCAGTCAACACAGCAACTTACTTGATCAACCGAAGTCCATCGGTACCACTGGATCACAAGTTACCAGAAGAGGTATGGAGCGGAAAAGAAGTAAAACTCTCACATCTTAAAGTTTTCAGGTGTGTAGCATATGTGCACATCAGTGATCATGGTAGAAACAAACTTGATCCAAAATCAAAGAAATGTACTTTCTTTGGTTATGCTGAAGATGAGTTTGGCTACCGCATATGGGATGATGAAAACAAAAAGATGATCTGCAGCAGAAATGTCATCTTTAATGAAAGAGTGATGTACAAGGACCGGCATAATACAGGTGCCAGCAACTCAGAAGTGAGTGGGCCAGTTTATGCTGAGGTGGAAGATATCCCAGACAGTCCTATAATAAGAAGTCCTCAGTCAGAGGAATCAAATGAAGAAAGTGAAGTGCAACCAGAACCTTCTACTCCAACTCCTGTATTGAGAAGGTCCTCTCGGCCCCACGTGCCTAACAAGAGATACATGGACTACATGCTGCTGACTGATGGAGGGAAGCCTGAAAATTACATAGAAGCTTGTCAAACCACAGATGCTAGCAAGTGGGAGCTTGCCATGAAGGACGAGATGAAGTCCTTGATCTCAAATCAGACATGGGAACTAGTCAAGTTACCTATGGGAAAGAAAGCACTTCACAACAAATGGGTGTATCGGGTGAAGGAAGACCATGTTGGTTCCAGGAGATACAAAGCCCGACTGGTTGTCAAACGATTTCAGCAGAAAGAAGGAGTTGACTACACTGAAATCTTTGCTCCAGTTGTAGAGCTCAATACTATCAGAACTGTGTTAAGTATTGTGGCTAGTGAAGAGCTCTACCTAGAGCAATTAGATGTGAAGACTACATTTCTTCACGGAGACCTGGATGAGGAGATCTATATGCACCAGCCTGAAGGTTTTTCAGAATGAAATAAAGATATGGTGTGCAAATTGAAGAAGAGCTTGTACGGTCTGAAACAAGCTCCAAGACAGTGGTAAAGGAAGTTCGAAAGCTTCATGCACAAGGAAGGCTTCCAGAAGTGCAATGTCGATCACTGTTGCTTCTTTAAGAAGTATGAGTCCAGCTATATCATCTTGCTACTTTATGTCGATGACATGTTAGTAGCAGGATCAGATATGAAAGACATTGGAAAATTAAAGATGCAGTTGTCAAAAGAATTTGACATGAAGGACTTAGGCCCAGCAATGAAGATTCTTGGAATGAAAATCACGACAGATAAACAAAAGGGAGTTTTGCAGTTACCTCAGGCAGAGTACATCAACCGTGTTTAGCAGAGATTTAACATGGACAAGGCCAAACCAGTCAGTACACCTTTGGCTAGTCATTTTCGTCTATCCAAGGATCAGTCTCCTCAAACAAAGGAAGAAGAAGAGTTCATGGCTAAGATTCCTTATGCTTCAGCCATTGGAAGTTTGATGTACGCGATGGTCTGTACGAGGCCTTGGCCATGCAGTGGGAGTTGTTAGCAGGTTTATGTCAAAGCCAGGAAAAGCTGATTGGGAAGCAGTCAAATGAATTTTGAGATATCTACGGGGCACAACAGAAAAATGTATGTACTTTAGGAAAGGAGATCTAAAGTTACAGGGCTACGTAGATGCAGACTTTGGAGGTGAAGTTGATCACCGAAGAAGCACCACCGGTTATGTTTTCACTGTCGGAGCTACACCTGTTAGTTGGATGTCGCGGATACAAAAGATTGTTGCTCTATCCACTATAGAGGCTGAGCATGTAGCAGTGCTAGAAGCCAGTAAAGAATTGATATGGCTTCAAGGATTGTTAGCAGAGTTGGGTTTCACTAAAAAAGAGAGTGTCTTGCACAGTGACAGTCAGAGTGCAATACATCGGGCAAAGAACTCAGTGTTTCACTCCAGAACTAAGCACATTGACATACGATATCATTTCATCAGATCTCTTCTCGAGGATGAAGTGTTGACTTTGAAAAAGATTGTAGGAAGCAAGAACCCAGCAGATATGCTAACGAAGGTGGTGACCATTGACAAACTGAAGTTGTGCTCAACTTCAGTTGGCTTGCTAGGATAACAGACCTGAGAAGACTACTGCAGTAATTGAGGTGTGAGGACAGATTGAAATCAGTCCTTAAGTGGGAGATTGTTAGCCACCAATTTTGAGTCAAAAATTGGAAGCCATCAAATGTTGAAAGCCACCAAATATTGAAGCCACGTTTTTGTTGAAAAATGTAGTACACAAATGTGGAAAAAATGGTGTACTCTTCAACTATAAATAGAAGGCAAATTTGATGAGCAAAGATACACCACAACAAAGAAAAACACAAGAGAGATAGAAAAGAGAGTGAGCTAGAAAAATAATCTAGCATTTGTGTGTATTTTTGAGTTGTGAGTTGTGAGTGAGTTTGAGAGTGTTTGTAAACATGAGTATATTTTTTCTTCCTAATAAAATATCTGCAGTAGTCCGGAGACGTAGGCGTTATTGGCCGAACTCCGTTATCAAATTGGTGTGTCCAATTTTTATTTTTATTTCACTTTTATAGATCCGACTTCATGGAAATTTCAGCGTATATTTCCCAACAGATACTAATGGTGGTTGGAGGCGGATCTGGTAGAGGTTTGTGGCAGGGCTGGTGGCGCTTGGTGGCGGGGCTTGTGGTGGTTGGTGGCGAAGGCGACGGGACCTGGCGGTGGCGAGACTAGTGGTGGCTGGCTGCAGTTCTGATAGTTGTTAATGACGGTGACCGGTGGTTTGGGTTGGTTGATTCCGGCATTCGGGGGGAGGTGAGGGGGAGGGCGGGGCTGGGGATGGTTGACTACTCTTGACAGGATGGTAGCGGCGACGGAGATGGCGATGGCGGCGGCGGCTTGGTGGTAGCAGCGACGAGTTATCGGCGGTGACCGGTGGAGTGTCGAGTGTGAATTTGTGCGAGTGTGGAGAGAGATGGTGAGGAAGGGGAAAGTGTGGGACCCACGATGGTAAATATGTGGGTCATATGTAATGACCAACTTACCCTTAATAAGTGACCAAATGCATAAATTTGACCCAATGTCTTCAAATAATTACCAGATTGCCATTGGGGTTGATCATTAATTATTAAAGTTTGACTTAATCATCACCATTGATATGGTGTATCTAATGGTTGAAATTCATTCTTATTTCTTTCACTATCTATCATTCTCATGTGATCCGAACTCTACCATACAATATATGCATGTTTTATATGACTATAAAAATATGATCAGATATATTGTTAAGCGATATATTGTTAGGCCGAGTGTGATAGATTTAGGAGGGTGTATTCATTTTAGATTTTAAGTCACATTTTTTTTTAATCTAAGTTTTTCTAAGATTTTTTTCATTTTAGTGAAATAATTACAAATCTAAGTTTTACTATTCGTTGTGAGATTTGGTATATCCAATGTACAAAAAAATCAGTCTGGACCGATTTTATAGTGGGTTTTGTACATAATTTACGATTCCATTTTTATATAGAAGATTTAGAAATATCTCAAAATAATTTGTCTCAGTGGTATTTGTGAAAATAAATGAGTTTTAGTAGGTTTAAAGTTTGATAGAGTGGAAAACAAACAAGTTCGGGCTACGAAAAATGTCAAAAATTGCATTTAGACTAAGGATGACAATTTGAGCCCCACTAGTTTCTTTTGGTAAAGGCCCCTCTCCCTGTTTCTAGAATGGTCGGGAAAGGTCCAATATAAGTATCAATTCGTCTCGCCCGGCCCTACCTCGCCCCGACCCGTGCATATATACATAAGATACATAGTGAAAACGAACCCTAATTTCTAATCTTTCTAATTCAAAGTTCCACATGCGAGGTGGTCCTCTCTCTCTCTCTCCAAAGGTTGTCAATTACATAATCGTAACCATGAAACTCACACTTTAACTATTTGATAACAAGATTTTTTTATTGGCTCTCTAATTTTCAAGTCTTCTTCACAAATACAATTTTATGTTTTTCTATAGATACGAAGAAAGCCTTGAATGATTGATTCTCTCAAAACAACACCAAACAAAGGGTACTTGGGATCAATTCTCCTCTTGTTTCTCCTCTACAAAAATTTCTGTGAGTTTTGGTTTTCTCTGCTACAAAAGTTTCCAAAACGAAATAAAAAAAATGAAAATATCAGATGGGCAAGGTGGAGCGAGTCTGGCCCGACCAGATGCAGGCTAGGTTTAGGGAAACTCTGGTTACCCGTGGTAAGCCGCAGGTCGGGTCGGGGTGCGGGCCACTAGTGACGGGGGCAAGTAAGGGTGTTGTAGTACCTAGACCGACCTAGGCCATTGTCATCCCTATTGGGAACAATGCAAACAAATAGTTCCGTCATGACCACAACCGTCTCAGAGTGACGAGCACAAGTATTAGGCTCGTCACGACACAGCGACGACCCAGATTCTTAAGGGCAAACCAGGTCATGACGCCCGTCGTGAGCGCAACCTGGGCTCAGTTCCATGTGTTTCATCCGAAATCATTTGGGAAGGTGTCCCTTAACTCAGAATTCCTGATGAATCTTCCCAACACCTCTTAATACCCCTTGAATGAAATCATTTAATAATAACATTTGATAGATTAAACACAAAGATGAGATAATTATGGTAGAACATAAGATTTCGTATGCATCTTGGGTCATAGTTTTATTCATTTCTTGAAAGGTCAAAACACAAGTAGTTTTGCCGAAATTTCGCGTATTTGAAATGCAGCTATACACAAGATAAAAGTTAATGTATGTTGGAGACATTTGTTTAAAATCATGCATTGATCGGTGGCAATTTCGTGTTATGGAGAACATGTTTCACGTGCTTCGACTTTGTTTATTTATTTGAACTATTTTTTTCGAATTTTTTCAAAGATCATGTTCATTGTATAATCGAGCTGTTCGTCATCATTCTCCATTCATGTTCTTTATTGTCACTCTTTAGAAGACAAGTACGCATACACATATCTAACAATCGTAAAACTAAATTTGTGTACATTTCCCCCCACGTACTCTATGCCAATTGTTATCGTACATGGCGAGAAGCCATAAATTTTTTTTGGCACCAATTTCAGGAGGTGACAACAAATGGTGTTATTTTATCTTACCATTTGTTCTCTTTCTTGTTTCCTCACAGAAGACCTTCCGGTTATTTTCAAGGAAGAAAACTATAGGTAAAGGCATACGGAATGGGATGTTTACATCATAATAACTTTTTGTGTAGAAATCTCATACTTAATTGACTAGAACACACACTCTAAAATTGTCTAACCTGGTTAAGACGTCTAAAGATTTGTGAAACTCTTTGAAAACTAAGTACAAAATGGAAGACATCGGCACTAACATATTTTTTGTTAGTAAATTCTTTAAGTACGAGATGGCTAATACCAAGTTGGTGATCAAAGAAAGACTCAAGAGGTATCTCATGCACAAACCCAAATAGATGAAACTTGGGATCAGATTGTTTGAATTTGAATATAAGAAGATAACTGAAAATTTTAAGTATTGACCAAATGGATCAAAATAGAGGCTAAGTCAAACTTAGTCGAGCTGAGCTCGGGTACGAAGCATAAAAATGCTTCTAATGGAAAACAGAACTAGAACTCCAAGAAATCTAACAAGAATCGCTATGATGGTGAAAAAACTAGATACCTTTCCAAAGATTGCTACCTTATAAAGAGGGAAAATGATAATGTAAATTGGTGAGGACAAGAATAGGCTTGTTAGAGCTTGATTTTTTCTATCATGGTCCAAGGGTTTACTTGGTTAAAAATCAACGTTAATAGCGTATAGAAACAACAGCCTCTCGACCCATAGGCTCTTATAAAGAATACTTCATTCTACACTCCAAAATGACAGAAGAAAGTATTTGCGGGAACTCCTCAACTTCAAGTGTTGATGGAACCGACAAGGTGGTGTGCTAAGAATGACTGTGAGAGATCATGGATGTGTGTCATGTTCAAGACATCCACAAGAGTCTAGTTTTCAAATCGTTTAATCTGTAAGACCAGATTTTGATTAGTTATGAGATTGGCGAATGTGTGATGTTGGAATATGATGTTTTCCTAGCAAAAGTATAACTTAGTAAAGGTATTTTTACAATTTGTATCAATTGTAATCCGTTTGACGAAGAGTAAAATATTTTTACCTTATTTATTGATGTTTTGCAATTTATAGCATAATAAATTAGAACTTATGAGTTTTAACGCTATAAGTTTATTGGTCGTTTGACGAAGAGTACAATGAGTTTTATAATTTTTTTGTAGCCTTTGCTATAATATTCTACAAGTAAAATAAAAATATCATAAATAATATATAGATTTTACATTATTATTGTGAAAAGTATAAAATTAAATACCAAATATGATATTCGTTATTTTAAATATTTTATAGTATAATTTCATGAATTAATATTTTATTAGTTAAAAATATAAAATAATAAGATATTCATTATTTTAAATATCATATCATCTAATTTTCATGAAATTAAAAAATAAAATAAAAGATAAATTAAAAATTTTTTAAACACATTTTGCCAATTTATAAGATTTTTTTTAACTATTTTAAAATTAAAAATAAAAGGAAAATTTAGTGAGAGCACATTTTGCCAATTTAAAAATAGAATGCATAATTTTCGTCCATCATATTTGGGTTCATTTGAGGAGAGAGAAGACGAAGAATGAATTTTAGATTTTGTCATTTGATTGTAGGTATTACCGTATTAGTCCTTTTATCTAATAATATACATAAACTATGTTTGGTAAACTTAGCTAATAAGCTAACTTATAGCTAATAAACTAGGAAAATTTTTATTTATCCTACAAGATTTTGAAAATATTTTGAAAATATTGAAAAAATACAATCCATAAACAAATAATTACATCTCTACCTAATATGTAATACATAACTACATTAATGCCTAAAGTAAGTTACCATATCCATTCAACTTTTATCCCCCTTTTTGTGGGTTTGATTAAGAGAGAGAAATAAAAAATAATAACTAACTCATTTAATTCGTTAATTCACCTAGCTTGTACATTTTTAATAGAGAGAATAAAAACATATATTGTAATTCACGCAGCCGTCAGGTGGTATATTTTGCATTTATGTTGGTATATATTCAGTATATGTTGCAATGAAAAACATGTCTTCCATCAACCTTTTTTTTTTTTTTTTTTATNTTTTTTTTTTTTTTTAACTTTTAGACATAAAAGTATATATAAACATATTATAACAGTTACTTATATTCCTATACAAACAAATCTTCTAAATATGTTGAACATTTATTGAACATATATACTCCATATACACACAACATATACTGAATAGTCTACGAAAACTCTTCTAATATACTGGAATATACTCCCTATACACACCACATATACTGCCTGCCTATACACGCAACATATACTGCTGTGAACATATACTGCATGCCTATACACGCAACATATACTGCCGTGAACATATATTGTACATATACTGTATATATATTGTACATATACTCAACATATATGTGTTTTCACGTAGATATATTGAAAACCGACGACTCACGGCGCTGGGGCATCTGGGGGCGGTTGTTGTACATTCTGTCACAGCGGACGCGCTCCTTCTCGACCTCGTGATTGTGGGCCTCGACCTCCTCGTCACGGCGCTGAGGGATCTGGGATCGGGTTGAACTTGGGGCGGTTGGGGTTGTAGTGGTGCGATTTGGACGAGGTGTCGACGAGGCGGAAGGAGGCGTCTTCGTCGGTAGCAAGGGTGGCGAACGAGTCGTCGCCGGAGAAATTGAAGGCGGAGTCGAACGGGTGGTAGCCTCCCACCATGTTTGGATCCAGATCGGGCCTGGTTGTTGATGTTCCGGCTCCAGTTGGCAATCCGACCTAGCTTCTCAGAGCGGGAGAAGGGGGCAAAGGAGACGTTGGAGGGGTGGTTGGGGACGGAGAGCGCGGCAGAGCCGAATTCTGGCGGGACCCAACCGTCGGGGTTGAACGGCACGGCGTCTACCTCGAAATTACCATAGTTGATTGGATTGTTGATGTTGTTTGCTGGAGATCGAATGAGTGAGAATAGGTTGGAGCAGAATAAAATCCCCGTGTGATCTTTCTTCCTTAATTAAAGGATAAGTTACTAAAATTTGAATTCTATGTATATATGAAAATATTTGTAGCTTCTTTAGGTAATTTTAAAAATAAGTATATAAGGGGTAGAAAAGTGTAATATAATTTAAATGTGTTAGTATGAGGTGCAATTTCTTCAATAAACTAGCTTATATCTTTTAAGTGAATTTCAAACTTATAGTTGATAACTTGTGACTTATGATTGAAAAACTAACTTATATGATAAAAGTATTTTATAAAATCAGCTAATACACTAGCTGAAATAAAATTTTCAATAGACTTATTTGAAAAAATAACCAAAAAAACTTATAAAATAAGCTCGAGTTTTTTGAAAAAACTTATCATACCAAATCAAACTTATTTAAATACAAAAAACTTATAAATTAATCAAATAAACTATAAACTAACTTATATGCTTATCAATCACATCCATATGCTTACCAATCACATCCATAGTACGAAGGATATTATAAGAAAAGAAAGCATAAAAAGAAGTGTCCGAATAAAAACATTTTTCAACTATAAATCAGCATCGCTTGAAATTCAAAGCAGGCTTGCATACATTAGCACATGGGCAGATATATAAAGATCGAAGAATGTCAAAGTCTAGATTTAAAGGATATCAAACGAGCAAAAAAAAATCTAAATAATATGAATTTTTAATAAATGTCCCGCCAAAACACACTTCCAAAGACATGTAAATAAAGGATTGAAAAAGAAACCACAAATAATGCGAGTCCCGTCCCGTCCGTTCAGCAACAATTATTTACAGTAATATAATTACAGAATCTTACAACACTTGGTGTATAATATATATCGACTGCCCAAAAAAGAAAAAAAAAACATAAACCTCATTGAAACACCTGATATATAAAGCAATGCGAGTCCCGTTCGTTCGGCAATCGCGTATCAAGAACCACATCAACACCCACTGTTAAATTATCCAACGATTTAAGTTAACGGAAAAGATTCCGTCAAAGATTCCCCGTATCTCACGACACACCAACCCTGACAACATCCAGCTGTGAAGGTGAGGATGATGTGCGGCTGTGATTTCTGCTTCTATGAGAATCCTCTGCCTGAGAGGCCAAATACTCAAGCGCCAAAACAATATCACTAATCAAGGGCCGAAAGCTCGCCTGCTCCTGAAGGCACATGGATGTGATTGCAATGGCATGGTGTAGACTTCGGGCTGAAAACCGACCCTCGAGAAGTGGGTCCACAATCTGCGCAAACTTCCTCCGGTCCTTTAGGAAAGGACGGGACTGCCCACAAAAATTTAGAAAAAACACGTCAAGCATTTAAGGAGGCTATAGGTTATACTGCTTTCTTTCATTTCATAATAAGTTCAAGAAGAAGAAACAAACACGTACGTATGGATACAATATGTGTACTCTATATTAATGTTAAATGGAGAATAACATGCAACAGATACATTTGCTAGACATTAATGGGCACAGGAGTAATTTGGGAAAACCATTATTTCGCAAACATATCATTTTCTTTCAAAACTTTTGGTTAGTCAACACAGCACTTCATGCAAACTGGGCTGAGTACAGACAACCCATCTTAATTTCTTAAGGTGCCTCTGTGCTTGAAGCTACTGTTTTTCCTCAAATGGGTTGTGTTCTCATGTGCTCGAAACTCGAAAAGTAGAGTGTGATGATGTTACAAAAAAAATATTGTAAATTTTAAAACCAAAGCTGCACAAAAAACAATAGCTGTGATCACAAAAAAGAATTCCAGATGTTCAGCCTAATTATAAACAGCACATACAATAGTCGTGATGACAAAAAAGAATTCCAGATGTTCAGTCTAATTATAAACGGGGAAATTCTATTGTAGGGCTTGACTTTTTATTATTGTGTCACAATAGGGCCTAAATTTTTAACTTTTTCATTTGAGGGTTTCAATTTTAAATTATTCTCAATTAAAGGCTTACTTCTACATCTAGTTCTCAATTTAAAATACCAACTAACATTATATTTTTACATAAATATGTAAACTAAAATACTATTATTTTAAAATCTATATTTTATATAATTATAAGTATCTTTAGTAAAGTTACGTAGTAAGAAAATTAATTCATTTAAGGTAAATTAATTTTGCATAAATGTAACTTATTTGAATTAATTTTCTTACGAAGCTAGTTTTACAAATATATTTAATACTTTTATTATAGGTATTAATTTTAAATAATTCTTAACTTTCAAAAGTATAAATTTTATTCACAAATAATACTTTCTATAATTTTATATAAGAAAATAAAAAAATTCTAAATAGTTTATTTTTAATGTTTTCACATATTTGAAAATAAATACTAAACAAAAGCTAGTTTGTGAATTAATTTTTCGTTACATTAAGCTAAAATTAATGAGGAGCTTAAATGTATTAGTTTTTCTAAAAAATTTTGTTACTACTAAACAATTCTCAATCGACTAGCTTTAAGTACAACTTTATTTTTCGTTACATTCATGCAAAATTAATTTAGCTTATATAAATTTTCTTATTAAAGTAATTTTACTAAACATATTTATAATTATTTGAAATATAAATTTTGAAATAATAATACTACATATTTATGTAAAAATATAAAGTTAGTTGGTGTCTTAAATTGAGACCTATAATGTAAAAGTAAGCGACCCTCAAATAAAAAAGTTGAAAATTCAGGCTCTTGTGACACAATAACAAAAAGTCAAAACCTACTCTAAAATTTCCCCAATTGTAAACAGCACCAGTTGTCATCAAAATTACGAATACTTTGCAGCAAACCTTGAGGTTAGTACTTAACATCTGTAACAAAGCACACCAATGAAATTTGTAAACATAAGAGGTAACTGGAGCATTTGTTTTTATAAGAATTGTACTAAAACTCAAGAATAGCACACATAATCACCCCTACGATTTACGCTCAAGTCGAGCTTAGAAATCCAAAATTCTCATCAAAACAGAAACATATCTTGTGCTTGTTAGGAAAAAATAGCTGTAAAGGCAACATATATGGACAATTTATATATATAAAAAAACAAAAAAATCAAGTCAAAAGAAAAAAAAAAATCTGGACAAAACTCAAAAGCCCGTATTCTCAGAATACGTTTTTTTAATTAATTTTGTTTAAAAAACGTATTCTAGAATATGTTTATAAATATGTTTTACAATGTAAAACGTATTCTCAGAATACGAGCTTTTGATTTTTGTCCACATATATATATATTTTTTTTTTGTCCAGTTAAGCTGTTTTTTTTATTTTTTGGTTGGGGTAAAAAAATCCAACATATATAGTACTTACCCACACAACAAGATTTTGTTCCCCGTGCACTCTACTCGAGTCGATAGCCTTGCGGCCCGTAATAAGTTCCAAAAGGACCACTCCAAAGCTGTAAATGTCGGATTTTAGGGTGAGCTTGCCACTCATGGCGTACTCAGGGGCACAATATCCATAGGTTCCCATCACACGTGTCGAGACGTGTGTGTTGTCACCAACTGGGCCTAGCTTGGCGAGGCCAAAATCGGAGAGCTTCACATTGAAGTCATCATCGAGCAATATATTTGAAGATTTCAGGTCACGGTAAATGACAGGTGGATTTGCTTTGCAATGGAGATACTCAAGGCCACGGGCGGCCCCAACGGCTATCTTTAGCCGGGTGCTCCAGCTCAGCAGCTTCTTACCGGGCTCCACGTCTAAAAAAAAAACAAAAAAAAATAAATAAATAAACAATGTCAAGGGGTACAAGTAATTTTGAAAGGTACTTCATTTTTTTTTTTTTCTTTGTTGACGAAGGTTTTATGTTATTCTTCTCTCTCGTTACTATTTATTTATTCATTTGTGGTTGACTAAATTACAATTTAGAGGGTTATATTTAGAACTAAATAAGATGACGCACAATGCCAGGCGGTCTTTAAATACAAATTTTTCGTTTTCAACTTCAGTTCCTTGTCCTTTCTGTTACAATTGTGGGTTCTTTTCACTACCACATGTAACAGAATAAATGATGCATTCTAGACAATCATTGTATTAATGAAATACAATAGTTAAATAGTTGCCAAACTTGAGTGATTGCTGTATTCAATCCTTGTAAATAATATGAAATCAAAAATTTCGTACATCCACAGCAATGCAATAGCTAAGACTTTGAATACTGTTCTCAACAGTAAAGCTAGCTGAGTTGAACGTGGTATTCTGCATCTAGAAAGACAAAGAAAAGAGCATAAAATACAAATAGCACAAAACTGATCTTTCAAAACAGAACACACTCAGATTTGCTTTTTTATCACAATTGCACCGTGAGGGAGGGGAGTGTATTTTAAGGGCAAATATAAACCTCAAGAAGGATGTTGTTGACATTTAGAGGAGTTACCTGTAGTTTTTTAAAGGCAATTTAAATTTTTCCATAACTAGGCTAAACCATAGGGATCGAATTGAGATCTATCAGAAAAGATAGCAATGGTTTTGTCCACTCTTAAAAGAAAATCAAAAGTAAAACAAACTGGATGAAGATGGATGAAAATGGACCTCATGGAGCAAGTTAACTGAACTTTATTTTCTCATATATCACCCAGACATCCACAACAATTAAGGGTGAAAATGAGGAAGTGGCATGAACATTGGAAAACTATCAAGAGCCAGGAATCAAATAAACATGAGTATTTCAACGTGAAAAAAGAAATTAAAAAAAAAATACCAAATAGATGATTCTCCAGGCTACCCATTGACATGAACTCGTAAATGAGGAGCCTTTGGTCACCATCCGTGCAATAGCCAATCAAATTCACAAGGTTAGGGTGGTGTAGAAGACTTAGCATAAGAACCTCTACAATGAATTCTTGATTCCCTTGATGTCCTTCAAGATTGAGCCGCTTCACAGCAACGACCTGAATAAGAAAACCAAATTTCTGCGTGATCCACGAAATTTAATTACGTAAAAGGAAAGCTAAATGACATATTTCATTCTAACAAATTTCACGTAACTGATCAGTCGTAATATTCGTTGTTTTCAATTGTAAAAACGAAGATATTATCACATAAAAGTGAATGCTTGCAAAATTTTAAACTTTTATAAGAGTGATTTGTTTTATGGAATTTAGAATGATTATAAATTTATAGTGATTACAACCAGAAGCTATGGGAAAATAAAAAAACAAAAAAAAGGAGTTTAAACAATGTTTGGTGACTTAGTCATTACATATGGTTAACGCAAATTCCAGACCTGCTTTTAGTGGACTATGACATAATATGATTTAATTTTGTTGAATTTTCACAGGTTTGAACTTTTCCTACAACAACAACAACAACATAGCCTTTAGTCCTAAAACTCTAAAATATTTCCATCTCCACCGAAAGCTGAGAATCATTTTTTTTCCAAGTGTCTGCAAATATGCCCTTTAGGGTGTATAAATATATATATAATATATATACTTTTTAGTTTTTACTACCCCATGCCTTCCGCCATTTTCCGCTACACCATCCGCCATATATATAAGGCGGTTTTTTTGCTCGCTGCTATCCGCCATCGATAACACTGTTAGTGTCTCATTTAGGGAAAATTAAAAAACAAAGAGCATACCAAGCCAGATTCAAGACGAGCTTTGTAAACACTTCCAAAACCACCTTCACCAATCAAATTGGTGTCCCTAAAATTCTGTGTAGCCATTGCAAGCTCTTTAAATGTGAAGCTACGAGCAGCTTTACCCTTATGTGAATTGCTTTCTTTGTCATTTGCTCTCACAGAGCATCCCTTCTTCCCACTAGCTGCAAAATCTAAGCAATATGAAATCCGCACAACTTTTAATTTATATATAGAAAAAGAAGAATCAGATCTTTGATAGTACAGTCATCATCATACCACTACCATTGGTGTTTGCCTTTCTCTTCCCACCAACTGCACCAAACAAACATAACCATGACACTTAAAATCAAGCACATATCACAGAACAGAAAGTATGATAAAAAGAGGAGGAAGGAAAAATGAACCTGAAAAGTCATTTGATCTTTGACCCATATCTGCATCACGATCCCTCACGTCTTTTGTCTGAGGGCTCATGCAGGAAAAGCAACCCATTGGTTTGCTCTTTGTTTGTTTCTGCACAGCTCTACCCACCCCTACCTCTCAAATTCTTTTCCACAGAGAATTTCGATCTTTCAAATATAGGAACTTACAGAGAGACAAGTGCCCAGTTAAAGTTCACTGCAACCATTTAAAAGCCAAAAATCAAAAGAAAACTAATAACAAGACGTATTTAGTTAAAAGAAAAAACAATTGCATTCCCAGTCCCCGGGCTTCCATAGTGCAAAAAACGCAGATCATAGAAATAAATAGATTGCATACTCAAACATCTAAACACAAATATGAGCAGATGCAGATCTATACCAAAAGTAAAACTACTGCAATGCCCAGAAATACAACACAACCAAACAATTTTTATATCAACACTCAACTATGCATAAAAAAAAAAAATGATATGGTACAATTTGTTAAAGAAAATTTGAATCTTCTTAGTGGAAAAGAAGAAAGGAGAACAAAACAATAAAAGAATTAAAAATATAAGAGATTTTAATCGACTAAAGTAAGTGCAGAAATAAGCTACCAAAAAGCATTCTTTCTGCTCCGTTTCCTCACAGCCCAAAGCCCAGTTTCAACCCCAGTTTTAGCGGTTAAATACTTTGCTTTTTCTTCGTACCAGGACTGAAGAAATTTTTCTTTCTCATGAGTAGTTTAAGTGTGTGTGGTTTGTAGGCCTTTTGCGGAAAGCAGGGAGAAACCAGATTGAGTGTTTTTAGGCCACTCCAATTCACAGCTAGCATTTAACGTTTGGGGTCATAGATTAAAGAGCATTAAAAAAGCATGCAACTATGCCTCATTAACCCAGTCCTTAAACGTTGCTGCACAAAGAAAGGCTATTTCTGTATAAATTTACTTTCGCCAAGAGTTTGCATCATGACCACCTCCTCAATAACGCAAGCAGAAAATATAAATAAAATTCAAGACTAAGAAATTGTTCAAATTTTTGGCAAAATAAATACATGAATCGGCATCATGGAAACTCAAAAAGCAGCTTGTCAAATTTTTTTGTAAAATAGAATAGAAAAAATATCAGTACGATGCTTCATTATCCTAAAATAAACTAAAAATGGTTGCCCAATGGTAAATCCCCTCTATATATAATTTTAAAATGGGTTGAGCCTACGTGGCAAACTCTCATGCTTCGTAATCCTATTTGGCAAAAAACCATGCTTTGGAGTTAGGCTTGAATATAAATTAATATTTTATAACTTTTTAAGTTTACAGCATTTTATATCTAGGCTAGATATTAATATAGTAATAATCCTATTTGTGCTAGATATTAATTTTTTATATCTAGCCTACGGGTATTAATATTTTTTGCCTATATATAATGCACGTTGTATTTTAAAAATTCTTTTTAATATTAATTGTATTTTTAGTTATTATAAATATTTCTTCTTCTTATTTTAAGATTTTATAGCTTTTTTTTGTATATTTTATTTTTTCTATATGATATATCAAATTAAGTATCTTTTAACGATTTTTTATTTAATATCCATATTATATATATAAAATACAAAATAGCAATATATATTTTTATAAATAAACTTTAAGTTTATTTATCAAACTTAATTAAAAGATATCAAATAAAACAATTAATTATATTATAAATTATATTCTTATGCATATGCACATCACCATATTATTTCTATTTATTTAAGATATATATTTTTTACTTAATAATAGTAAATAATATCGATAATTTTATATGATATAAGTAAAAAAAAATTCAATATGAGTTGACATTTTTATTTAATATAAGGGTGTTTAATTATTATGATTAAAAAATATAATTTCACAATTTAATTAAAATCCAAAGTAATGTTTTATATAAAATTAAATTATTTTACTTTAAAAAAATAATATTTTTTACATATGCTTTCTAATTCAACACCCGTGTATTTACACGGGTATTGTACTAGTGCTATTTAAAAGAAAAAAAAATGATTAAGAATTAAACCTAGAGAAGACTGGTATTGAAATAGCCTAAAACAATACTTTGAATGAAAGAGCCCTAACTAATCCGTCTTTTATATGAAAGAGTATGAACGATATAGGCAAGACGTATCAATAGACAAAACTTGCTGTAGTTCCACCAATAGGCTATGAATAAACATTTATTATGATTATTTATCACTTGATAGAACATACAACAAAAGATCAATCCAAATCAGAGCTTCATGGCCTTTACATTTCTATCATTCAAGTTGCACTATACCAGGTAAGAATCTTAAATGAAGCAAATATAAAAATTACAAGAAAAATACCAATACAACTGAATCAATTAGAACCCACTCCCAAAGATACCTTAATAAGCCAAACACCAAGCACATTAATAAAAAAGACCACTGAAAAGCATAAATATTGCTCATTCTACCAACACCATCCTAAGTAATATGCCCGCACACAAAGATAAGATGAAGAAAAAATGGAAAATGATTTCTGGCAAACTGGAGATCCAAAATCACGAGGAAGTGTACCATTTCAGCTACCACAAACCACCAGAAGAAACCCAAAACTACTAAATCGCTGTTCCAATGGTTCAGCATAATACCACATACACGAAACTCTAAAATGCAGTGAACAAAAAACAAATGAAAAACCATATGAAGCACACTTACAGTTCAACTGTTAAACTGAGGCAACGTCAGCCATCATTTATTATTTTTTTATTTTTTTTAGTTTTTTGGTAGAAAAAAAAATCAAATCACTTCCAAGAGGGTTAACAAGGCTTTTTCATCATTTATCCTAAAAACCCAAATTTGATTGGACTAAACTAAATCAAAAGCTAAGGACTTAAGTCACAAACAAAAGTTTTACCCTCCAACATTAATACCCAAAAAGACAATAGATTTACTTTTTAATTCACCAACAGAAACAAACAAGATGAAAACCCAACTTAGTGGAATAATGAAAATGGAAAAAAGAAAATTATTTACCCGTATACATACAACTTGAAAACTCTACATAAGCAAAAAGGTTGGCAGATAGATGTAGCGGTCGGAGGCGTGGAGCTTCGCCCAACAACACACAGCCACGCACTGAACCATCTGAAGAATAAAATCTCATAATGTGAGGACAATCTATAGATCGAAAACGAATAAGGAAATTAATGTAAGAAACGAAGGTCACAAACCTCCAGAAACATGGCTCGTTCATCTCGATCGCCAGAATGCTAAAAAAAAATCTTGAAAATAGGATTGAAGGTTTCTAGTTTCAGGGGCAGGAAATCTATAAAAAGCTTTGAAGAATTGATAGAAACTCAGGACTAAACCAACCCAAAAAAAGAAGCAAAATACTGACCGCGAAATGAAATCTCACGGACGCGCCGGACTCACATTCTTCCCGATAGCCATCATAATAATCGGGAACTTGAGAAGAGTGAAGGATGTTTAGGTGGGTAGGGTTTTTTGGAAAAGCAGAGAGAGGGCGGGTCGATGGGCGGCACGCGGCGGGGAAGACAGAGGTGAGAATAGAGAAAAGGTAGATTGATCTCTCAATACATTAAATTAAATGAAAAGTGAAAACTACGCAAAAACCAGAGCAGCCTACTGAGGACTGAGTGAGTGACTCAGAAAAGTAAGGCTATTATTGTCCGCACATAAAGGGGTACGCGTCAAGCAATAAAAGTATAAAACCGGCTCTTATCGCCTTATTGATATAGGGAGGAAAACGGTAATTCATATATATGCGATTTCAATAGACGACTCCAAATTTTTGGCATTTAGTGAAGCACTAGCGCTACGCATTAACTAACAATTTATATCTTTAAAAGTAGCAATTTGCAGAAAAAATATATTTAATACTAACAATTTGCAATTTTTTTATATATTTCAGAAATTAAATTAAAAACAATAGTCCTCATCAATAGCAATAGCATTTTTGAAGAGGCACAAGTCCTTGAAGAAGTACAAGCCCTAATTGTTCTCTCTCATTTCTCCCATTTTTCGTTGTCGGGTCCTCCTCTCTCTTCCTTGGTTGTTGCCTTCCTCAGCGGGTAGCTGGACTCCTTATCGGTGGTCAGCCCTTAGTTGCACGCCCCGACTTTGCGCCTCTTCTGGTCCGTTTTACGCTGGTGGATGCGAATGGTCGTCCGCGACCGAACTTCGCCACAATCAAGTGTCGGTTCGTGGTCGCGATCCGTTGGCCTCCCTGGAGTCGAGATGGCGTTGGGTGGGGTGTTTTGTTGGGGCCCGGGTGTGGCTAGGGCCGTGTGCGGCGTCTTCGTCGAGGGCGGTCGGGATTGAGGTGATGTCTCTCTCGCCCCTTTTCCTTTATTTTCCCTAGGGTTAGGTTTGTGGGGCTGCCGGTGCTACTGGATTAGGCCAGTGGTGTTGGCCGAGTTCGGGTAGTCGGTGGTGGGGGTGGGCAAGTTTGTTGTTCCTCCGGCTGTGAGGCGGGTCATCTTCTTGGAGTGGGTCGAAGTTTGAGTTTTAGCTTCAGTTAGGCATTTTTTGAAGTTTCGGGAGCGGGTTCATGGGCTGCGATCCAGTCACTTGGAGTCGACCGTGAGTCCGCTGGTGCTTCATATAGGGTTTAGTCTGCCTAGTGTGGAAAGGGCTTTGTATGCTTAGTTTGTGGTTTAGGTGTGTTTGTTTGTTTTAGGTGTTCTAGGTGTTGTGCTTTTTGGTTTTTTTGAGTCTTTTGGTTTTTGTGTTTTCTCCTGGTGGGAGCTGTGTATTATACCGTGTGGAACCGTTGATCCTCCTTTTTTGGGAGTTTGTTTTCTTTTAGTTGTGTTGTGGGTGCGTTGTCTAGTGTTTCTATTGTAGGTTCTAGGCGACTTCGGATCTGTCCTCCCACTTTTATTTGGTTGTTAGTTGTTCCATTCAACTGGTAACTGTTTCTCCTTTTGCACTTTTGTGCATTGTATAAAATCTCTATCGTTTCGAAAAAAAATAACAGTTTCGAAAATCGTCTCGTATGTATACAAAAATGTTAAATACAGTCAAATGAAGTCTTCAAAATGATAAGTGAAGCTATGTATGCATTTGTTAAGCATAGAAAAATCCCGGTGTTTGTTAAGAGTATAAAATCCACTCTTTATATAACCACTTTTTTAAAAACTAGTAAAGTTCACGTGCGATGCACGTGGATAAAATGGGTTTCCTTTATGTTTTTTTTTTTTCTTTTCTTTTGGATAATGAAGTCTTTGTTATACCGTGTTGCATTGTTTTTATGATTGTTATGTCATAAACTCGTGTGCAAAATACATAAATAATCATTGGTGTTGAAACCATAACTGTTTATGTCAGCATATTCCAAATTTTATTTAAGGGTATACTCTTATCAATATATTCAATAAAATATAGTAATAGTTCTGTATCCTTAGACATGATTAGTTTAGCTGCTTTATCTACCAAGTTTCCTTCAGTTTCTTGGATGACTAAAAATATTTCATGCTTGTGCCCAGAGTATATGATATATTGGGAGTTTTGATTATTTGTGGAACATAAAATTTAATTTTTGATTTGTTAATATCAATACTAATATAAAATTTGACGTGAATCTGAGTATGCGCCGCTCTAATATATGAAGTTGTCAATGCATAAATGTTTCAAAGATATTGTGTTAGGAATTTAAATAAAAGTCACATAACCTACTTTGGTAAGACAATTATCTATAAAATAGACATAACTAAATGAGAAACTAATGTGAATTCCTGTTGATTCAGTTCATCTCCTTCTTTATGCTGACGGTTGGAGATGGTTTCATTCCTTTTGTACTTTTTCTTAGGGCTGGCATTTTTGGACTAAAAACCGAAAACTGAATCGAACTGTACCGAACCGACGAGAAAAAAAACCGAACCGAACCTACTAACTTAAAACGGTAACTAATTAACGGTTACCGACCGAAACCATAGAGGTTTGGGTTTACCGAACCGAACCGATAAGAAATTAAAAAAAAAATAATAATACATAATGTTAATAGGTAATGACTTAATACTAATACTAATAACTTAATACTAATAATTAATAACTTAATACTAATAAATAATAAGTAATAACTTATGTTATATAGCTTGTGAATACATAACAAAGCAAGCAACTTTTGTATATAATTACTAAGCAATATTCAAGACTTGAAAACCGTCATAAGCAATATTCAGGAAATTCAACAGTTGCAGACATTTATTCTGGATATTGGATGCCCTGTTCGCAGACAAATTTCCCTCAGCAAAAGTCGTAATATGCTCGACCACGTTGCGCATATGTGGATTAATTTTATGGTTTGTATATTTCTATTAATCACTGTATAAGTACAATAATCAAAATTTGATGAGTATTAATTTCATGAATGCTCATCTCACCCATTTAAAAAAAAAAAAATCGGCCCTCTCATTTATTATTGGTAAATTTCGGTTTTTTCGGTAGGAAACCGTAACCGAATCGAGTTATCGGTAACCAAATTTTCGGTTACCGATTACAAATGGTTCGGTAACGGTTTCTATTTGTAGTTACCGAAATAATTGGTTCGGTATCAGTTTGGCCTTATCGGTTCGGTAACCGAACCGATACCAGCCCTACTTTTTCTTGTACATTTCTTTTTCAAACTACTAATCGTCTCATAATCTTCAACTTTAATAACGCAATCACTTTCATCTTCTATTTTGATGATTTGTCATCATCCGCATGCATATCAACAGGGCTGTTTGGAGAATTTTTTTTGGTCGTCTTTCATTTCCTCATCATTGGTAGTTTGCGACTTTGCAATTGCCTCTGCCACCGCATTCAAGTCTCCTCTTGCATTGAACGACTTATCATTGACAGGAATTAGGAATTGAAATTTACTTGTTGACTGCAAGCTCAACCCTTTGTAATATCAAGTTAATTCTTCCCCCTAATGAGCATCGAAAAATAAGTCTTTCATAAATATTACATTGGACGATCCATGTGAATTTGAAATTAAAAATATATTTCACCTGCTCAATTGATCTGAGGTAATCATTAATAGGACATCCAATGTACACCATTGTGGCATCCTCAAATAAAGTTATAGTCACATTTTGGTTATCTCCCACGATGTTTAAGACCAACCTATATCTGCGATGATTGTATATTGTATTATAAAAGTTTTGTATACATAAAATAATAGACGTGGTCTTTTTGTGATGTTTAATACCTTAGAGTGTGTTCCATGACTTTGCTGTTGCACTTTTTGCATGACTTGTAGTCGTCGTTCTTCTCAGTTGCAGCGGCACAATTTTTACATGATTCATACCACAAAGATAATGTATTCATGACTTTATCAACGAAACCTTTGAAAGAATAGAATTTTTCCTGTGATGAAAAGAAAAATATAATGAAGGTAGTCCGAAATTCAGAGAAGGAAATCAAAACCAATAGTCCAGTGCAGTTGCATTCAAACTAAACTAATTCAATAGTTGATTTACAAACTTAAGTATTTTGTATAGAATAATGAAAATTAGTTAACTAAATACTCTCATTAAACACAAGTAATCTCGAAAAATAAAAAGTATTTTGTTAACACAAATCATTTACCTATTCGAATTCATTGGTGAAAGACACAACAAGACAGGCCAAAAGTATAATGATTGCCAAATTGTAACAAAATTGTTGTCCATCTTTTTCTTTTGTGCGATATTTTTTCTCTTTATAGTGTATGACAATGATTCACATCAATGAAATGTACATACAATTTTATTCACAAATATATCTTATAAGGCCACAGTGCTCAATGCAATAAAAGCTTTCCATTAATTATTCAGACTTTGATTGATCAAATAATAAAGCTAAACTCCTCATCTTTAAGTCGATCAGCACACATAGAGCTTGCTGGCTGGACGATTCTAACTTTCCTAGAATTGCAGTTGCATATTATTAGGTATTCATTACCATAAATGTGTTCATTTGATTGAGTCGGTGCAAATTTTGACAACTGCTCTATATATTAGATTGGATAGTTTCCTAAAATATATGTACACACAAAGATATTTACGCAGGAAAAGTTGTGGTATTTATTTTACTTGTTTATCTAATGTACCTTATTAAGCTCGTCTAGGTTGAACAAAATTTGATGTAAGGTTACAGATTCGACATCCTTAATCTTTTGTTGCATCGACATTTCAAGCAACTTCATAGGCTTCTCATGTGCTTTCAACCTAATAAATATTACATGATGCCAGAAGATTTTTTTTTTTTTTTAATTATATTGTATTATATACATTACTTCCATGAATTTAGAGTACCATTGACTATATTGCTTGTTTTCTTCACAAGGCGTGTTGATTTCCAGAATAGATGCACCATTCGTTTGCAATTTCATTTGACCTAATGATATAAAAGTGAAAAATATTAAAATAGAAAGTCCAACTCTTTCACAAATAAAAAAGTATAGAATATAAATACCAATTTTCAAAATTAATTACTTTTGGTATTTTATAATAAAATGTATTATGTTGTTACCGTTGTATATCTTCGGTGTTGTTAGCTTACTGAACGTTACGAATGGCCTCTGTGCAGCCATATCGTGTAGAGCAGATCTTTATTTTGCGCCATACCATCCCATAAGGAGACTATAATGGACGAACACTTATAAACACAAAGAATGTAAAAATTTTCTATTATTATTATTAT